CCAGCAGGGAGTTCATCCTTTGGGACTAGGGGACTAGGCTCTAATGACCAGTGCATGTCCAAAAGGGACTCATGAGCATATTCTTGGGGAACCACAAAACATTAAGAAGCACCAGACATTCTGTCAGTGCCTGACTGGAACTGCATTTCAATTAAAATGGAGCAAATTCTCATCATATGCCACCAAATCACTAATGAGGCACATCTCATCAGAAGATGCATTTGGGACAAGAGAAGGACGTGGGAAACTATACCGCACTCTACAAAAACCAAGACCCCAGTGGCTTCAAGACAGAACCACAGGCAGGAAGAGCCATCCCATCCCATGGCACCAGGGGCAGGCCAGACTCAAAGCTCTGGCCAACACCAGTCAACACAGAATGCTATACGGCAGATAATGCTTTCATTTTAGCAAAACATCATTGCTGTTGTTTATTTCTGCTCTTTTTTTGGCTCTTTTGGGGGGAGGGGTCCTGCCACCTAGCTCCCAAATAAATCATACATGGAGACTTATTCTTAATTATGAATGCCTGGTCCTAGCTTGGCTTAGTTTCTAGCCAGCTTCCCTTAACTTATCCCATCTACCTTTTGCCTCTGGGCTTCTCCTCTCCTCTTACTTCTGTAATTCTTACTCTTACTCTGTGGCTTGCTGTATAGCTGGGTGGCTGGCCCCTGATGTCCTCCTCCTTCTCTAGTTCCTAGATCTCTCCTCAGATTTCTCCCTCTATATATTCTCTCTGTCTGCTACCCCGCCTATCCTTTCTCCTGCCTCACTATTGGCCGTTCAGTTCTTTTAGACTGTCGGGTGTTTTAGACAGACACAGTAACACAGCTTCACAGAGTTAAACAAATGCAACATAAACAAAAGTAACACACCTTAAAATAATATTCTACAACACATCACTTGCTATACTAAGCTGACAGCGAGATCCAAATTTATCACATACTGGCTTTTCTGTACAAGTAAAGGAGAGACACGTGTAAAGTTTCCTATAAACCCAAGCAGTTTTATTTAAAAAAGAAAAGAAAAAAGGAATGTAAGTCAACACTCAGGAGGCCCAATATCTTTTCCTTTTGAAAGAGAATTATTATCAAAATAGAAAGTGCATATGTCAAGCTTTTTAATCACTCTGTCAAACATATGAAACAACTTAAAAAGAGGAAATACTTTTGGCTCATGTCTTCAGAGGTTTTGGTGCATGGAGTCCTCACTACATGGTCTTCAGGCTCGAGGTAAGGCATGATTATCATGGTGGTAGGCATGCGGTAAGGAAAGCTGCTCACTTCATAGCAGCCAGGAAGCGGCACAGGTCCCAGGGACCCGTGTCACCCATGTGGGTTCCATTCTACCTCCCGCTTTCCCCATCTGCCAGTACTGCCATCGTACTATGAATGCCCCAAGTAGTCGACCCACTGATGAGGTCACAGCTTGCAGGAGCCAATCATCTCTCAGGGACTGGGTCCATAAGCCTTTAGCAGATGAGCCTTTTAGGAGCACACTTCATATCTAAATGGTGACATACACTGGAATATACACTCTTCAAATGACCCCAGTGCAAGGTACAGCAGAAACCCTGGTAAGACACGTGGGTGACACAGTATGCATTCTACTGCCACTCCACACAGCAAACGTGCGACTCGCCACTGTCTGATGCTGACAGGGCCTCGGCTAACCTATTCTGAAGCTTTTAACTATAGGGAGCAGGGGGTAAAAAACGAACAAAAGCAGCCCTAGTGGAAGGAGCTGGAGGGAAGAGAAGGAAAAGCAGGAAGGAAACTATTCAGTATTAACCCAAGATAAAGAAAACATTTCTTTGGAATCAAGGAGACCTAACATTCAGTTTTTTGTCTCTGCACACTCCCCTCCCAAATTGGGCTTTTCACTTTGTTCCTGTCTTTTAATGGAAACACTGGCAAAGGGTAAAGCTGGAAATAACAGCATTAGGATGGGCAGCCTTATTCACTCTGCCCACTTGACAGATGGTCACTCAGTGCTGGGGTCACAGGACAAGGCTGGAGCTCCACGGGACCGAGACACACTCAACCAAGTTATAAATCACAAACAACAAACCTTTGTCTCATGAATTATTTCATGGACTTGTTAAAACAGAAAGCTGACATAACCCTGACTCAAAAACCTGAAAAGCCTTCCAAGTGCACCTGAGGGTTTCCTGAAGAAACCCCACCTGTTGACAGTTTGAATCTGCCCCATGTCATAGCCTCGTCTACAGAGTTGGGACTCACCCACAGAAGTCCCCATCTCGAAATAAGCCAACTCCTTGAAAGACACTCTGTGATGTATCTCCCACTGGTTCTCTGGCTCTGGTTCAGTCTTCAATGATGCAATAAACTGAATGAATAAGTAAATATATGGTTTCTCATTCTAAAAAAGCAGTTTCAAACAAGGAATGGAGAACACGAAAATGTACAAGGTGTCAGACTGGAATCAGAAACACGAACATGTTTATATATAAACACACAAAAACATATAAATACAAGTATGTATGTACCGTGGTACATGTGCATATGCGTGCACACATGCATGTGTGTACACGTTAATGTGTGTGTGTATTTGCATGTATGTATATATATATATATATAAATCTATTTCTGTATTTTGGTTTTTATATTTTATTCTTTGTATCTTTCACATCATGCCTCCCAATCCCACCCATCACCCCCACCCCTAGAATAAAACAAAATAAAATTTAAGAGAAAAAAAAAAAAAGAGGAGAAAGGGAGAATCTCATCGTGGAAGCTGCAGTGTGACACAGTGAGTCCCACAGTAAACCCCCTTATCCCTACATTTTTACATGCAGGCGTTCACCACCAAGAATCACTGGTCTGCTCTGAGGCCCCTGGTCTCTGCTACACCATCGACAGTGCTGGGCCCTCCCTGGGACTCTTCCTTGACATCCTGCGGCTGCCCTGTGTTGTGGAGATCCTGTAGCTCTGGGATGGCAGGACCAACTCCCCCTCCCCGCCCTGTGCTCCAGCAGATCACACATGGGGTGGATGTTGGGGTGGGCCAACCCATAACCCTGGTTCTGGGCCTGGGTCGTTGCAGGGTTGGTCAGCCCGCCAGCTCTCCTTTGGACTCACCAAGGTGAACTCTCCAGCACTGCCCTGGCTAGTTCTCCCCTTGCAGCCAGGAGCAAGGGGCAGGGCTGGTTCTCCTGCTGTCAGTCCTCAGGGTTGGTTCTCCCACGCCTACACCTCCAGGGCCAGCTCTGCTGTGTTGCCCAGGAGAGGGGTAGGGGCCACTCTCCCGAATGCTGCAGCTGGGAAGGGGCAGAGCCAGCTCTTCCAACTCCCTCGGGGGTTGGTGGTGGGGGCATCTCTCCCTCGCCAGCCCATGCTGCCAGATGACAGAGGAATAATGGGGCCAGCTCTCCCATGGTCACAACTTCAGAGCTGGCTCACCCACACCTCCGCCAACAGGGTCGGCTCTACTGGGCTGCCCAGGCGAGGTGCAGGGTCCACTGGAGGGCTGCAGCTGGTAAGGGGGAGGGTCAGCTTCCCTCGCCCACCACAGGTGGCAGGGTCAAGAGGGAGGGGGTATCTTCTCCCCCCTTCCCTCCCACTACATGGCAGATGAGGGGGACGTGAGGCACATATATCTCTATTTTTATTAAACATACACATTATAAACAGCAATTCTTCAGGCGTTTCTAAAAGTACGTCATAATTTCATCCTCTGTCTATGTGGTGCATGCACATGTGTACATGTTAATGTGGGTGGTGCAGGTGCGCTGACCCCACAGTGCATGTGTACAGAGGTGCCCTACCAGACCTGGCTCTGGGGAGTCCTCATGATGGGCGGAGGCGAGGGGAGAGGCACACAACACACAATTCTGTACAGGGAAAACAGATGCAGCTGTGTATTCAAAGAGAAAGGAATGAAAGTTGCCCCTTCCTTACATGTTTAACAACTCCTGTTCTCCAATTCTCGGATAAGGTCCAGATACTACAGTGACATGGTCCGGGGGGTTCACCAAATTCATCCAGGGAAGAGCCAAAAGCCAAGTGAGCAACTACAAAGTAAATTATACCATCGCCTCTGACAGAAACTGGGACAGGACAGCAGAGCTCACAGAGCAGGCTGCCTGGAAGCCCTGACCATGTGACCAAACTGAAAAGGTCCTGGGGCTGCAGGGCAGAAAGCAGGGCTTCCAAAGGAGCTGTCAGTGGTCAGGGGAAGCTGGCCAGGAGGGGCTCTGAGAACTGAAGGGTCTTTTACACCTTTTGTATCTTCGGAGTCTTCAGCCATGAATACACTAATGCTTGATTTTAAAAGCAATGACTGGTTTAAGAACTAGGAAGTACTTCGACTTCCCACGGCTGTGCAGGTGTATTGCTAGCAATGCTGACATCTCCTACTGTATCCTTTTCCCCCTAATATCAGCATGAAAGGACCTGACAAAATAGAACATGATCTCATTTTCAAAAAAGAATTTCGGGGGATGGGGGCTTTATATGAAATATACCCCCAAAAGTTTCTCAAGTCTAATAGTTCTTGGTTAGGATCAGAGCTCACAGATAAAGCTATCCCTAAACCTTAAATTTCTTTATTTTTTTTTTTCTTTTGGTTTTGCCAGACAGGGTTTTTCTGTGTAGTCTTGGCTGTCCTGGAACTCACTCTGTAGACCAGGCTGGTCTCTAACCCATAGAGATCCGCCTGCCTCTGCCTCCCGAGTGCTGGGATTAAAGGCATGCATCACCATTCCCTGGGTAAGCCTTAAATTCTTAATTCTCCGAAAAATTATAAATTGCCAGGCATCCAAGGACAATTAAAATGAGAAGGCAATGGCAAGCAGGAGCAGGGATGTCCTGCTGAAAGCCCACGTTCTCACACTGTACAGTGGACAGCACCAAAATGTTAGAGATAACAGCATGCAGGATACCGTGTGGCCCTACTTTCCCAGTATTTATAAATAAATGACACATCTGTTGTTTACATATTTGATCAACCGTTACATTTGTGTTATCTTGTTCACTTACTTATTTAGAAAGACGATGTCTCGTGTATCCCAGGTTGGCCTGGAACTCATTATGTAGCCAAAGATGACTCTGAATTTGATCTTGCCTCCGGCTCCCAAGTGCTGGGATTACAGGCATGTGTCACCATGCCTGGTTTTATGTGGTACCAGAAATGGGACCTAGGGCTTCGTGCATTCTGAGCAAACATTCTACCAACTCAACTATAACTCCGGGTATTTGACTTTAAAGGGTAACCCAACTCACTGATGAATGTCAATGTCTCAAGTTCTGCTCATGAGCTCACAACTATTTCTTCAGAGGTTCCTTCAAAGAAAGAGCGCCGAGTTCTAGCCACAGCGTATTAAAGATCAGTGCTTACAAAAGAACGCTCCATGACTGGAAAGGACTGGGATTCTGCTAACAGTGTGCTACACTGTCCAGGTGAATGCATCTGCTTAAACTCTGCCAATGCCTTTCAACGATGCTAGGAAATGTGTTCCTTGGAATGATTTGAGATAGGGTCCATGAAACAAGTCTGCTCCTGAACACTGGGCAGTTCTGCTTCAGAAAGAGCACAGCAGGCAAACGAGAGCAGGTGATGATTTGCCCACCAGCCACGTATGTGCGAGCCAACCCTGTCTCGGCAGGTCCTCCAACCCATCCTGAGGAAGAGCCACCAGGGCCCAACAGGCACCGACCCAACTCTCTGGTCTGGCAACATCTTCCTGCGCTTAATTTTCCCACGTACAAACTCAGTGGCGGGAATAAGGCCTGAAGAATGTTAAACGTCTTCATGATGAATCAAACGGTCAAGTTACACTTCGTCTCCGCAGAAGCCAAGAGTCACTGCCATCAGCTCGGGACAACACAACTCCCGCCTGCCTGCTGCCCTGATCCTGTGTTCCAAGTTTAAGCCCCTCCCCCCAGGACCGCCAACTGCCAGCTTCCACCCACAGAACACTCTAACTGCCCCAACTGCGGGACCCTGCTCCCCCCCCCCCAATTTCTGGACATGAAATACCACCAATCTCTACCCTGGAAAGCTTCACCCTGGAAAGCTTCACCCTGGAAAGCTCCACCCGCTTCCCAAGAAGCTCTACATTAGCCCTGCACCCTGTTCATTTTGCTGCTGTTTCCCACCAGAGCGGCGGCAGCCACCCTCGTTTCTTTCCCTTCCCAATAAATCTCTTGTGTGAGGTTTGTTGCGCGGTGTGACTTTGTGGTATTCCATGGGCTCCTGCCTGCCAGGATACCTTTCCATCCAAGCTGTAATGCTTATAACCGAGCCAGTTCATTACTGACCTCATCCTCTCTTTGGGTTAGTAGGTCAACTGACAATAAACAGCCTGGGGAAACGGCAGAAATCAATACTCGGTGGCTGCACCCTAGTGCCCTGGTCTGGCCGGCAGACTCCAGAATCTTCCCTGGCCTTCTCTATGTGCTTCTGGATCTCTAGTTCCGAGTCAACCCCATGAGTTCATTTCATACCATGACAGCTCTTGCGCCATCCGTTTTCCTTCAAGGGTCAATGAATCGGAATTTCAAACGAAAGCATTCTGGCCCCTTAGGTAAAAACTAAAAGTAATCTCAAGTCTCATCACTGTCTTATCGTGCTGGAGTCCCACCAGGAGAGACCAACTATCGCCCTGGAAATAATTCAGAAGTCAGTTTCAAAGGCTTGCTAAAGCCATACACTTTCCCTTTCAGGTCCCACCGCAAAAGCAAATGGAAAGCACCACTGCTGCTGTCTTTACTGCTGCTTTTGCCATTTCTGAAGTTTATATTAGTGCGTGACCATTCCACTGAGTTTCACTTGAAGCTATTTGTTGCGTATTTTAAGTAAATAACTACGAGTGGAGAACAAACTCTGTTTTGGAAAGAGCGGGTTTAAAAAGTATTCATCGCAATACCCATGGACATCCACAGAAAGAACGTATCAGCTCTATAAAATTACAAACCTCACTCAAGCGAGGAGCTTAGCTCTGAATTAGGCCTGCTGCAGGTATGGTGCAGAGTTTGGTCATAATCAGCACGTCTCTTGTGGGAGGGAGGAAAGATAGTCACTAATTTCTGATGGAGGTCAATTTCGGGAGCAAAGAAATGCCCTACACCAACAGTGCACCTCAAATACCAGAATCTGCCTCTTCCTTTAGTAAAGTCAGTTTGTACCAAGGTTTTCAAAAAAAGGAATGGGATTTTACCTGTGAGCACACTTCACATGGAGTGGCGTGCAAGGCTACTGTCAGGACTTGTGGCTCTAGCTTTTTCAGCAGCATCTCACTGGGTGCCGGAATCATGTATTTAGGAAATGAGCCTTAAATATACTTTTGTGACAGAGAAGAACAGCCACCACCAAAACAGACAGAGTGAGGGGCAAGCCCAAGCACAAAGGGCAGTCAGCATGAACAGGCCCTCTGCACTTGGCTTGTAAGTCACTCTAAGGAAGCTTCATCCTGCAGCAGACAGGAAGAGAATACAGAGACCCACAGCCACACAGTATGCAGGGGGTGAGGAACCCTGCAACCCTTAACCCTAAACAGGAGGACATCTCCATCAAATCCCTCCCCTCAGGGTTCAGGGAACTCTGGGGAAGAAGAGGCAGAAAGAGGTAAGAGCCAGGGGGGATGGGAGGACACCAAGAAAGCAAGGCCCTCTAAATCAACATGAGCAAAACTCATAGGAACTCACAGAGACCGCGTCAGCATGCGCAGGGCCTGGTCCTCTGCGTACACATCACGGCTTCTACTTTAGTGGTTTGACGGGACTCCTGAGTGTGTGGACGGGTGGGTCTCGGCTTCTTGTGCCTTCTCTTGGGCTCTTTTCCTTTTGTTGGTTTGTTCTGTCCAACTCCAATGTGCTAGTTTTTGTTTTACCTTATTACATTTTATTTTTATTTTATGTTATCATTATCCCTTAGAAGTCTGTTTTCCAATGATAAAATGAGTGGATCCAGACGGAAGGGAAGGTGGGGGAGGAACTGGGAAGACTAGAGGAAAAGGAAACCCCAACCAGGATAAATTATGTGAGGGTGGAAAACAATCTATTTCAATAAAAGGAAAAAAATTAAAACTTTTAAAAAAGAGTTCCCATATATAAAACTTGCTCTAAGATTTAAAAATAAGCAAAGTGAACTAAAATTAAAATGTACCCAATGAGGAGGAGAGAAGAAGGAAGGTAAACAATGATAAGAAGGAGTAACACACAGGACTGCAGGGGTCAGCTCGATAATGGCCGACACACGGAGCTGCCGGATAGTCTACTTAGAAAAGCAGCAACTGCAGACGGAAGATGCATGCCAACGAAGTTCTATGCAGCTTCATAACCAGTCTAGGACAAACTGCGAGACTGCCCAGCCTTCTAAATCCCTCTCACTGGGCTCAGCAGGCCCACAGCCCGGCCCTGTCCTCACATCTCCCACCCTGGACTTCCCGTTCCCTGGCCCATCTGTCTTCCTTCCCTTCCTGGCTCCCTTCTCCACCCCCAACCAGAGCAAACCAAGGAAAGCCACGGGGTATGGAACGCCCTATCAGTTAGGTTTAGGCCAGGGCCTGGTGCTGGGTTAGATAATTAAAGATCCCAAGGCTTTCCCAAAGGCTCCACCTCCACCCAGCTGTCCCCACAAGAGCGCAGCCTTCCTTCTGGAAATCCCTCTTTGCAGCTCCCCCGCTGGCTGAGATCACAGACCAGCCCTGTTTTCCCACATGCTCATCAACTCTGTCAGCAGGAGGAGTGAAAGGTGGGCAGTGGAAGGCACCTGAGGAAACAAACAACCAGCAACACAGGAGAGAGAACTGTCTCCACAGGAGCTGTGTGGAGGACAGCCAGCTGAACGAGGGAAGGAGCAGGCCGTAGGAGACCGACAGCAGACCTAAAACAATTTGCTCCTTCATGTAAACCACAAACCGGTTACAGAGAGAAACAGAAAGCCTGCAAGGATTAGCCTGGCAGATCAAACCTTTACTATTTAAATACCCCATCATTACTCACATATCCTGACCAGGAAAGCCCGACTGTAAAGTGTGCCAAAAGAGGATGTTTTATAAAGATTCCAAATTCAGAACTTCATGAACTCAAACTGAACAAGTCCCGGTTACGTAATATCCCTGGGTGGCAGCTGCCACTCAGCCTTTATTGCAGACCTTACGGGAAATACAAAATGACAAGTACTTGTCAGTTTGGGAGGGGAAAAGAACGCTAGAAGCCTGTTTTCTTTCTTGGAGAAGGCAGCTGAGCGGAGCGATGCTGTGCTGAGTGATGCTGTGCTGAGCAATGCTGTGCTGAGCACATGCTCATCTCTGCACTCTGCAGGTAAGGTTTCCTACAGTGCGTGTCTAAGCAAAGGCAGCCCCCTAAGGCATCAAGGGAAATCACTTCCTGGTGCCTATCCTGCCACCCTAACACTACAGGCAGAAATACCAGCAGGCCAAGAATCCAGAGCTGGTGCGCCTGCCTCATTGCAAACTGAAAACTCCCCAACAAAGTAAAGATTCCTGAACTTTTCTGCAAAGATCAACCTGGTTCAACTCCCTGAAGCAAGACAGACAAATGCTGAACAGTTTAAGATGGGGATTTCAAACCATCGGCCCAAGGCCTCAAACTGGATCATGCACAATTTTGCCTTTTAAATGATGTACGATTGTAACACAAATTGTTAAATGGTCTTATTAATTAAAAACAAAAAAAAAAACAAAAAACAAAAACCTGGAGCCAGATATTAGGGTGAAAGCTGAAAGATCAGAGAAGCAGAACAAGCCACAGACAACCTCATCAACTCCTCAGCTGATCCTGTTTCCACAAATCCTCTGAGTCCTCATGCCTGAGGGTCTCAGTTGAACTGTTGCTTAGTTCCTATTTCCTCATGCCTTATATACCTTTCTCTGCCCTGACATCACTTCTCTGGATTAAAGGCCTATGTGCTTTCCAGTACTGGGATTAAAGGTGTGTACCACCACTGCCTGGCTCTGTTTCCAGTGTGACCTTGAACTCACAGAGATCCAGACGGATCTCTGCCTCCTGAGTGACAGGATTAAGGGTGTGTGTCACCACTACCTGGCCTCTATGTCTAATCTAGTGGCTGGCATTGTCCTCTGATCCCCAGATAAATTTATTAGGGTACACAATGTATCACCACATACAATAACGTTCGAAGCCCACACATCGATGTGAGTGGCCCTTTTTCCACATATGAACTGCACTGCTAAATACCTTCAAAGGAAGGAAACATGAACAAAGCCCCTCTCCTACCCTCTTCCTTATATGTGAGCAAGCAGAGTATCTGCAGAAGAATCCAACCTAAGACAATCCAACCAGCAGTGTCTTCCAGGTGACAAGGAACCAGGGTGGGGACGGCTGTCTTGCTCGGACCCACCCTCATGGTAGAAAGGGACCAGATGACCCCACTAAATCTAGGAAGCTTGGCTTTCTTTACTCCCTTTATCCAGATTCAGTCATTACATGATTACATGTTATGTGGTCCAAAAAGTTCTGTTTTCCCTGCTGTTTGTCACAATGATTCTGGAAGAAATGTCTCAAGTTTCCACAGAGAAAATCTCCCTTCTGATATGGGGGAGGGGAGCTACTACAGGATTCTTCCGTTCATGCTAAGGCAGAAAGACTTCCCGAGACATCAGGACACCGGTTTTCCAACCCCTGCAACCCTGATGCTGTTTCCTCCGGTGCAGTGAGTCAATGAAACCAACCTGGTGAGTGAAAATTGCTAGCACCCAAACAAACCGATGTGAGAGGAGACACCCCAGGAGGAGTCATCGCCATTCCGAAGGCAAGGAAGCCTGGCTTCAAGGAGATGTTCCACAGAGACTCCTAGACACATAAGACTCCTAAACCTGCACAAGATAAAGCAACCAGGTCTACCTACCTCAAAAGAAAGCTGCCAGA